TATATATATATATATATATATATATATATAATATGGTCTTTTTAATTGCATATGTATATTGGCCTAAGGGCTAAAGACCTAATTTTGAGAAATTGTTAGGACTGCAAGACTCCCAAAAACCGACTTCATTATCTCTTTAATCGATAAGATGAAATTGGATTGGAATTCAAATGTGAAGGCTCCAAATCAATTCCCGCTACAAATGACTATGGAATGTCCATTTGTTGGACAATCTGGTCTAGGGTTTTAAGAGTTCAAAATCATTCTTCCTTGTTTATTTGAATATGTCACAGTATGAATATAATATTATTTAAAAATTCCAAGCTGTAAAAATTCCCTCTAACTAGGTATTTTGGCGCGTGGGCCAATGGTTGCAGCGTTGACCCTTTGAAAGATGCACATAAAATGTTATTACATATCTCAAATCATAATCATGACTCTAGAATGGCTATGATTTGCTGATATATGTTTGGACTCACTTGAACTGCAGATGTCTCTCAACAGCTGATGGAGCTTTTCTAGGGGTGGGATTTTGGCCCACTTGGCCTCACATACAAGATCTGTGAGTATAGTCTTCATATTCTTTTTGTATCTTCTTTTGAGTGGGGCTGAGGTACTAGTTTGGAACCCAGACCTAAAGATTGCACCAAGTGTATTCCGTTTCAGAGGGGGCTGAGTAAATAGTCTTTGTTCATTGGTTAATGGTGCAATACGCACATGTAGATGGGTAATTACCCCACCAAAAACCCCACCAAAAGAAACAGTGGGTACAACAGTATTATAAGTGAATGATCTGTGTTTGGAGATGGTAGTGCTGAGACAAGTGAATACATTTTGAATACCCATGTGACTCGCCTATGCTGTGTATTCAAAAAGATAATAATTGTTGTTGGCTCTTTAAATTACTTGATTATTGTCTCCGCCAGTGCTGTTTATTGTGGGAGTGTCCATCTCATAAGCAAGTTATTTCATCTTGAAGTCATACCAGGTGCTGATGAAGCTTTGGATTGTGCTTTGAGAGGTGGAAGAGAATGACCCTAGAAAATGGCTTGTGTGGAAAAATGATAAATCGCCTTGGTTCTTTTAGCTAAAGATGCCCAGCTACGGATAAAGAGGATGGGTTTACAAGTTGGAATGTTCTTACAGGTATCCTATGACTATCACATGCACACACATTTGTTTCCTTCTGAAACCTTAGAGGTTGGGGAGTAGTGTGATTGTACGAACTCTTTTTTTGACCCATCCACTTCCCTAGTTTTATAAATGAAAATCTTGGATGTACCCTTATTTTATAGTTATGTGGGTCTTCTGTGTTGTTTTGTCACCTATATGGCCTTTTTAGAGATGTCAAACAGGTGCTTTGACTTCGTCACAGGATGGCTTCCAATCCAGTGATGAACACTACCTTTTCTCGAACAACTTTTTAAGGAATCCTGGGTCAAATTGTTTAAGAACACTTGGTTTGGGTGGTGGCGCGGTCGGTCACTGGGTCTTTTTAAGTGTTTTTTTCGAGGAAGTATATTTTTGGGTTCTTTGGCACGAGCACACAACAAAATTTTTTTTTTCTAGGACAATTTTTTCTTTTTTTTTTTTCTATATTCATACATCTCGATGATCAATTGAAGGGATTTTCAACATTAAAATAACTTTTTTTGATAGATTTTTGAGGTGTATATGTAATTATACATTTTAATGTTGCAGCCTTCTATAAATTTTTTCATATATATATATATATATATAGGGTGTGGTTTCTATAAGGTTGCAACCTTAAACAATCCAATTAAGGCGCGCTTACAAATTTTATCATAACATTTTATCATAACATGTAATTTTGGTATAAATAATTCTTTGGATTATCTCAAAAATCTATTTTCATATCTAGTTATAAAATTTTAAACTAAAAAAATGGTTAAAATCAAGTAGATCTATAGACATAAATTTTTTGAAAATGGACGGTTTAGATAATGTGGTGGAAGATGCACTATTTATAGGCCTCAAAATCTTTTTTTTTCCATAGTCATACATCTCATTGTCGAGAT